AAGCCTGGTAATAAATGCATGCCCTAGAATTTTTTTTTTAAAAGTCTACACCTTGCTTATTCCAATTGGCCTCATTTACTGACAGCTTAAGTTTAATTTCTGTCTTTAGATACCTCACACAATTCCAAGCAAATGCGGTGATTAGTATGTATACAATGGATGAATTAGATGATTAGATGGATATTAACTATTTGTATACTACATAATTTATTTTAAAACATAACTAAGTATTTAATCTATGCTGTGTTGTTTTATCAAACTTAAAGTAGCATTTCTTCAGTGTACATGGCATTCTTTTTTGTTTTACTAATAATTCAAACTCAATTTAGAAAATATGGAAAATATAGAAAAGTAGAGTCTAAATACATTTACACTCTCAAGAAACATTTTAAATTAACTATTTTATTTCACTGTTTTATCTATTGATCCTCATTACTATTGCTACTATAGGTAGCAACAGACCACAGAGCCCAGAAAAATTTGATACTATAAAGATATGACATCACATAATAGAAAAATAATAGATTATTTAAGAGAGAATTTACAAACACTAATATATCACGCCTACAATTAAATTTCCTCCAAAAGATATGTTTTGTTAGCATTATATGTGGTTATGAAAATCAATACTCTTTTTTTAACTAATGAATAAATTGAGGCTTAATGTGATAGTATCTCTGAGGTTCTTTATAGGAATAGCAAAGACAGAACTGAAGCTATTACACAGGACAGAAAATGAATGAAAAATAAATACATACAATTCAAGTACTTAATTCCAAATTTTTCTCAGAAGAGTACAAACAAGCATATGCTAACCACAGGGGATAACTGGGATCAGGTCAGTTTACTTTAACAAATGTGTAATGAGCATCTACTATGGCCACTTTTATATATGAAAATGAGTAAGACATTGTTTCTGTCTTTAAGGAGTTTATAATCTAATGGAAGTCAGATAATTATTATTTACAGCAGAATATATTGATCATAGAAAAGATGTGAAATGCTATGCAAAGTAAGGTTAAGGGACTCTACCTCTGTCTATACAACAAAGAATCATAACTAATAAGTCAACAAAAGGGACAAAATGGAATCATAAAAAATAATCAATCCAAAAGTGCACAGAATAAAGAAAACAGAATAGATGGGTAAAAGAGAAGACAAACAGCAAGGCATTATTTTAATCCCAATCACATCAATAATTACTTTTAATATAAATGGTCAAAGTAGGGAAAAGGTACAAAGAGTTGCAGAGAATAGGAAAAGTTTCATAAATGAGATGGCATTTCCTAAAGGTCTTAAAGGATGGAATATAATATTAACAGGCAGAGATAAAAAGACACATGGGGCATAGTGAGGAGACCTCACGATATAGAAAAGGAAACTACAAGATCTATTTTACTAATGTTAAGTCACCCACAAGAACTAGAGTACAATTAAGACACATGGGAGTACTGCAAGATAAAACTGAAGTTATGTTAAAACCATTTGTGGAGCTGAATTCCAAAGAGAGGAGTATGCAATCAATTTAGAAACTGTGGAAAATCACTGAAAGTTTCAAAACTGGAGCTGGGATTTGGAATGACTAGTTTGAAAGTGATTGATTCTATACTTATAATTTAAATCAGTATGTCATGAAGATGTGTTTTATTAAGAGAAAGTGGCTTCTAATATTTCTTTTAAGGTACAACAGAAAGACCTGCTTAAAATAAAAATTGAGATATTAAGCCAGTACAAGTTGGGATGGGGTAGGCAAGGCAAGAACAAGAACACATGTACAGAAGTTTTTGTTCAAAAACTTTATGGGAAAATGAGAATGAGGTAATAGTAACTGACAAATGTCATAAGCTACTAATTTTAAAAAACAGAAATAGATAATTAAGAGAAAAATGTCCTAAGAAGGGCATGATGTCCTCTTTAAAACAGAGTATACAGTGGGTGGAGGGTACAGAAAGTCTTTCTATATCCTGAGTATATTTGGAGTATTTAAATAATTCTGTGCTTGGTCAAGACTGAATGTACTTAAAGTTCAACCTGTAGAAGCATCTCTCTTTATTCTACCTAATGTTTCCTGACCTGTAAATAGTAAAATTTAAACCCGCTACTGCTTTAAAATAAGATTCCTAAAGAAAATCTTGAGCCAAATACTGCAGCTGTTAAAAGGTCCTGTCGAAAGCACGAACAAGCCACTGAGGGCAATGTCAGAACGGAATATTTTCTATGAAGTAGTTGTCAATAGCAGGTGTTCATACATTCTGGAAACAAACAAAAACTGAATCACTTGTTAGATGGCAGGTTCTTAAAATTGCAGAATGCTTAGATTAGTCATAGCTGACGCAAACTATACTTCTACCACTGCACATGTTTCTACAGGAGACCTTAACTCACTGAAAATTATTTCAGGCATCCTTCTCAATGTAATAGCTGAAGGTTAGCATGACAAATTCTCTGGAACCTGTGAGTTCTAAAAATAGAAACTCTCCAGTTCTGACCTCACTCTATGTACATTTATGTATTTTTACTCTGTACGTAAAAGTTAAAAGGAAAGTAACCTTTTTTTCAAGATTAATTTGTTTATCCCCTTTTCATATGGGAAAACATTAGTTATGTATGAATTAAATAACAATAAATCCCCTGATACTCTTCTTCTATATTTTTAAGAATACCTATCATGGCTGCCATTTACAATTGTAGTCTTGGTATATAAGGAAACAAAGTGTTGGCGAATTACTCAAAAATAAGCCTTAAACTGGTCAAGCAGTTCCACATGTTTGGAGGAGACAAAAGAAATGAAAAACACCCACTTTTCTGTCACAATCATGCTTGAGATTATTTTGAAACTTGTATCATATTTATTGCTTTCTCATAGAAATAACAATAAGTATGACTTTCTCATGTATAAAAAGTTAAAAAATAAACAAACTTAATTCTTCCATTTAATTCTATGGCATTTCAATTGTTCTGGACCTCATGTATAAATGAAAAAGATTTAATAGCACATATAATAAGGTTATCACAGATCTTATCACATAGTGAATCAATATTAATAATTATTGTATTGTGTTTGTATACAGATTGCTACTGAGCACATACCCAATATTAAGAGGCTATTAATGATTACCATGCCAATACTATATAACAAGTACCCTTCAAATCAGAGAGAATTTTTTTTTCTTATAGTAAAAGGGAAGAAACTAATAATTTGTTATCCACCTCCCAAATCTCTGGTCAAATTTAATGCGTTTGAAAGAAATAAAGCTTTAGAAAGTAAATATTTAAAGAAATACCACTGATAATTCAGAACTGCAAGAAAAATTTTCCATAGATTATTGCTCTTTTATCTCTGTGCCCTAGAACAACATATGAGAACCAGAACCACCTGGAAAACTACAATGCACAAGTTTCCATGTGATGATAATGCTGTTGGTTTGTGGATCACGCTAAACCAGCATTGCCTTAGAATACAGGACAGTAAACTACGGCTCATGGGCCAAATTTGGCCTGCTACCTATTTTTGCAAATTAAGTTTTATTGTATCACAACCACACTCATTCATTTACACCTTAACTATGGCTGCTTTTGTGCTACAACTGCAGCATTGAGTAATTTCGACAGATACTATATAGCCTACGAAGCCTTACATATTTACTATCTGGAGCTATTACAGAAAACATTTGCTAACTCTTGCCCTATAATAACATTCTTCTCCCTACTATCCAGTTGAGAGCTTTGAAATTGAGAAAAGAAATTAACGATATCAAATACGAAGACATACAGTACAATTCAGGATATTTCAAAGCTCAAAAATACAAGGGTACTTCAAAAAGTTCGTGGAAAACAGAATTAAAAGATAACACAAATCTTTCCACGAACTTTTTGAAGTACCCTCATATTCACCATTTTCATGAATGGTCATTGTTTTAACTAACAGCAATGAGTTGCTGACTTTCTTATTGCCATAATATAATTCTGACGAATGTCTGATGTCCACAATTAAAAGTTATGGTTTATCTCCAGCCTATAATGAAAAACATCTTAATACTTGTAGTTTCATAGACATGGTACAAATGAAATCTATGCAGTACAACATAAAATATACTGAACGATTTAAATCTATATTAATAAAATTTCTTGTTGATTTGAGAAAATACAAGCAATATAAAAAACTCACAATTATACCTGCTAATGAAGGACAGGAAATAGAAGGATTAATTAAATCATCAATTTCCTTAACTTATCTAGTAATCTTCTGTATCATATATTATCCTCTGCTTACCCTATTTCTGCATCACTGGGTAATGTCACCTGAGAAAGAAGCAGCAGCAATAGGCTGACACCAGGCTTACAGAATGGTGGCTGCAGGCCTCAGACCTCTCAGATGTGTTTTTTTTTATTAGATTTAAATACATTTTTGCAGGATATATACAGTCAATTCAGCCCAATCTCTCTCATTTCTCCTTGTCTTATATCAGGGTTGATTCAAACATTTGTATTAGCTTCTGAACCCCTGAAAGCATTTGACTTTGGGATCCCTGGCTTAGATAATATTCAAAGTAAAAAATCAGTTCAGGTAATAAGATCATTGTTAAAAGCTATTATGCATATACGTTTGCATGTATACATACATAAGTGAAACTAACAGTGTCTTAGAGCAAAAATCTGAGATTGTTATCTAAAAGGGGTAATTTAATTTTGTGAAAGGCAATATAGTTTAGTCATCTCCACTGAAAGTGTGAGACTAACAGACATTATGATGTTATTATAATGATGTATTTAGAGGTTCAGATTCCTTTATCTTCTGGTAAAGAAAACCCTTGTTTACTGGACTATATGTATAGTTTTCCAATAAATAATTACATATTTGGTTTCTTTAGAAGCATTTGTCTCTGAGTGAGAAACTTCCAAACTAGCATCTTACAAAATATTGGCAAATAGTATACTTCTCACTGTTGTAATATAAAATTGCTAATAAATGAACAGAAGGAAACTTTGTTAGCTAATACCTGTTGCACGATTGTTGTCAATTCCAAGCAGAGCTGTATGACATTATTCCTTGTAACTGAATAGTCTGTCACGGCAGCAAATGGTGACCTATAAAGGGAAAAGAAAAACTGTGATTATTCAGAACAGCTTTTCAAAGGTCCCAAAACATAATAGCCTAAAATAAGGCTTTGAATAATATGAAATAACTTGTTCTGAAGTTTACATATTGATAAAAAATATTTGGGACTTAAAGAAAAAAATTGAGAGAATGCTTGGAAGGGAATTAAATTCAAGAAACATACTGCTGGCTTTCTATGAAATTTGTCTCTTTTTTAAAGTTCTTAATATTTAGTTCTTTGGTAAAACAACAAAAAAGGAATACTTTAGGCAAACTCGATATTTTAGCTTACTTTCAAAAAAAGCTAAAAATTTTGAGTACAGTATCTTGAATATTCAGAACTAAGAGCTAGTAATAACAAAAGCTAATGTTTACTGAGATCTTACTATGTGCCACTTACTGTTCTTTACATTACTAAATTAATCTTCACAACAACTCCTATAAGATCAGCACTGTTATTATTCCCATTTTACAGATGAGAAATCTAAGGTACAGAAAGATTAAGTGACTTATCTAAGGTCATACTACTAGTAAGTGGTAGCGCCCAGGAAGTCTGACTCCAGAGTCCACCCACCCCACAGTTAAACACTAATATATATTGCCTCTATGAATTTACATAGGTTTATCTTGTACTAATGTCACTTCACTTCCTTTTTGGAATACCTTAGTGTGTGAATAATAAACATACACTAGTGTAAGGTCTGTATTTTCAAGATTGGTATATAGACAGAAAACCAGCAGTCTTTCTTGCAAGTATTTTGCCACCAAATGAATTCAAGTGGCTTTCCAATACTCCTTATCCTCTCTCTTGTCTGAGAATGTCAATCAGGTTTTTTATATGATTTATAAGGCCCAGTTTAAGGAAAAGAAAACAAAATCGCAAATAGAAAAGAATATGTAGAGGTGAAAACTTGTTCAAATTAATAAAACCTTGGTGCTTTAGATCCCTTTTTAATGAGATCTTTTTAAGCAATTCACTAGAAGTGCTTATATGGAACTGCTTCCTGGTTACAAACTGAATTTGCATACTTTCTAAAAATTCTACAACTCGAACACCTCTCACTCTAACAGAGGTCCATATTAGAGAGGAGCTCTTTATCAGTTACATTTTTAAAAATATAGTTTTTGTTTATATATATTTTTTATTTTGACGATTCTAATAGCTATATAGTAGCACTCCATGGTAATTTTAATTAGAATTTCCCTAATAATTATCTATATTATATATAATCTATATCTAATAGTATCTATATTTCCATCATAATTATCTAATAGTTAATAATATTAAACATCTTTCATGTGCATATTTGCTATCCATGTATGCTCTCTGATGAAATGTCTGCTCAAGCCCTTTGCCAATTTTCTATTTGGATTGTTGCTATTCTTATTATTACATTTAGAGAGTTCTTAATATATCCTGTATGCAAGCACTTTGTTGAATAGGTGATTTGTAAATATTTCTTCTCAGTCTATGGCTTGTCTTTTTATCCTCTTAACAGGGACTTTAGCAGATCAAAAGTTTTAAATTCTGATGAGGTCAAATTTACTGGGAAATTCTTTTCTAGATTGTACCTTTGGAAACATATCCAAGAAATCTTCACATGACCATAGGTCATGTTTTCCTCTAAAAGTTTTACTTTTTTACATTTAGACCTATGATTCATTTTGAGTCAATTTTTGAATAACGAGGTTTGGGTTGGCTTTTTCTCTATGCTTGCCCAAGTATTCCAACATCATTTGTTGAACAGACTATCCATCCTCCACTAAACTGCTCTGCTCCTTTGTCACAAATCAGTTAACCACACTAATAAAGGTATAGTTCTGAACTCTGTGTCTATTCTGTCACCCATACCACAGTTTTGATTACTGAAACTATATAATAAGACTTAAAGATCGGGTAATTTCTTTAAAAAATAAAATATAAATACAAAAAATCAGTTAACTTCTTTTTCAAAATTGGTTAAACTACTGTAGTTCCTTTGTTTTTCAATATAAATTTTAGAATTGTATTATCTATATCTATAAAAAAATCCTGCTGGAATTTTTATGTGAACTCATTAAACCTATAGGGAAATTTTCTTTTTCACATACGCTTTTTAAAAAAGTTTTTAAAAAATCTATTACAAATCAGTTTTTCTTCTTACCCAACCTATCACTCCCTAACCCTCTTCCTACCTCCCCCCACCATCTCTAATATCTTTAGGTTTGTCCTCTCCTTCTAAAAGTTCAACATACTATCGTGGCCTTTTTATTCTTTCTTTCCTTCTTTCTTAGCTCCTTATGAGTAAGGACATGCAGTATTTGTCTTTTTGTGTCTGGCTTATTTCACTTAACATAATTTTCTCCAAACTCATCCATGCTGCTGCAAATGGCAGAATTTCATTCTTTTTTATGGCTGAGTAGTATTCCATTGTGTATATATACCACATTTTCCTTATTCAGTCATCTGTTGATGGACATTTAGGTTGGTTCCATATTTTGGCTACTGTAAATAGAGCAATGATGAACATGGGAGTGCAGGTATCCCTTTGATATGATGATTTCCATTCCTTTGGATATATACCCAGTAGTGGAATTGCTGGATCATATGGTAGTTCTATCTGTAGTTGTTTTAGGAGCCTCCATACTGTTTTCCATAATGGCTGTATGTGGGAGCACATAGGCTTGACAAAGAACAGGGATTGCACAAAGGGCAAAAGTCCTAAGTGCAATTATGCAGAACCTAAGTGCTGAAAACAGTACATGCTGAAAAGAGCAGTTTCTGCTAGATTAGATAAGAACATTAAGGTCATTTCTTATCCAGCTTTACTCCCTTTCCTTTGTTTCTCAAGATATTTTCCAGAGATGGTCCCCTAGTAAATTTCTTTCCATTCTTTGATAAATGATTGATTAAGTTGTTTTTTCTCTTCTATTTCCTTGTCTTCACAATAAAAGCTGAAGCAAATACCGATTCAAGGCTGTGTCTTGTTTCCCCCCTCTTGAGGGAGTTGTCACAGTGCAGTCCCTTTGGGCTTCTCATTGCTCAATATTTGGGCTCTGAGCAATATTTGAGTCTCTGTCACACAGTGAGAAGTGACAGCTGTACTAATTTATAGTCCCACCAAAAATCTAGAAGAGTTCCCCTTTCCCCACATCCTCATCAGCAATTGTTATTCTCAGTCTTCTGAATAATGGCCAGTCTAACTGGGGTGAGATGATATCTCAATGTGGTTTTGATTTGTATTTCTCTAATGATTAGTGATGCTGAGCATTTTTTCATGTACCTTTTAGCCATTTGTATATCTTCCTTTGAAAAAATGTCTATTCATCTCCTTTGCCCATTTTTTAATTGGATTATTTGTTTTTTGTTTTCCAATCCATTAACACAGTATGTCTCTCCATTTATTTTAGTTTTCTTTAATTTCATACCTCAGTGTTTTGCAGCTTTCACATACAAACCCCATGGAAATTTTGCTAAATATACATGTAGTCAACTCATTATTTTTGTGCTTTTTAAAAAATTTTGGAATGCAATTGTTACTAGTATACAGGGATATGATTAATTTTTGTGTGTGGACTTTGTATCCTACTGCCTCACTAAGTTCACTAACTAGTTCTAACTGACTTTTTTTTGTAGATTTCTTGGGATTTTCTACAAATGCATATGTTATTTGTAAATGGGGAATGTTTTATTTCTTCCTTTCTAATATTTATGCCTTTTATTTACTTTTCTTGCCTGCTACACTGGATATGACTTCCAATATCAGGGGTGAGAGTGTATAGCCTTCCCTTATCCCCAGTCTTAGGAGGAAAGCATTAAGTCTTTTATAACATAGTATAAGGTTAACTGTATACATTTTATATATACTGTCTATCAAGTTGAGGTAATTCCACTCTAATCCTACCTGCTGAGAATTTCTCTCATGAATGGGTATAGTATTCTATTAAATGCATTCTCTACATTGACTGATACAATCATATAATTTTGATTCTTTAGCTCATTGATGTGGTGGATTATACTGATTTATTTTCAAGTGTCTGGAGCAGCTTTACATACCTAGAATAAATCCCACTTAGTCATGGTGTGTAATTCTATTTATACATGGTTGGATTTGGTTTACTAATATTTTGTTGAGGATTTTAACATCTGCACCCATGAGAAATACTGGTTTTTGTTTTGTTTGGCACTGACGTTGTTAGATTTTGGTATTAATATAATGATTTCCTCATAAGACAAGATGGGAAGTGATCTCTCCTCTCTTTTCTGGGATCTATTGTATAGAATTTGTGTTATTTCTTCTTTAAACATATAGAATTTAACAGTGAAATCACCTGGGCCTGGAGCTTTTTCTTCCCTGGCATGAAGGGTTTCTAAGTAATACTTACATTCTTTAATAGTTACAGGATAATCCAGAGTATTTCTTTCATCTTAAGTTGTTTTGGTAGTTTGCCTTTTTCAAGCAATTGGTCCATTTCATCTAAGCTGCCAAGTTTATGTGCACAGAGTTACTTGTAGAATTTTTTTTATTAACCTTTTGATTGACTTCTCTATTGTGTTTCTGTTTAAAATTTTACTGATCTGTACTCTTATCATTATTGCTTGCTCCCTTATGCTTATTTTGCTCATATTTGTCCATTTTCTTGAGATGAGAACTTAGATATTGACTTGAGGCCTTTCTTCTTTTCTGATATAAGCATTCAGTGCTATAAATTTCCCTTTCAGCACTACTTTAGCTGTGTGCCGCAAAGAATAATTTGTTGTATTTTCATTCTGCTCAATGCATTTTTTATTTTCCTTGAGATCTCCTCTTTGATAAATTGATTACTTAGAAGTGTGCTGTCTGATATCTGTGTGGAGGGGTGAGTGGGTGGGCAGGGAAGAGAAGTGTGGTGTTTGAATTCTTGTTTGATTCCATAATCTGATTTTAATTCTTTTAAATTTGTTGAAGTTTGTTTTATGATGCACATATGGTCTATATCAGTGAATATTCTATGGGCACTTGAAAAGAAT